AAATTTTTTGAAGATAAGAATTTATATTTTTTGTTTAAATTCTTTAGGAATAAATATTTTCGCAGATCTTCTAAATATTTTTTTCCTTTGTCATTTTTCTCTTTGTTATATTCATCAAATCTAGAATGTTTGAATCCATTATAATTTTTATTATCTAAAACAAAATAAAACCTCTATACATTTTTAAAAATATAAAATTTTAACAATTTACTTTATTTTACTTACTGGTTAAATAATTCCTGTTGTTGTAACTAACCACTTCTTAATCACGTATATCCTATAAATTCCCAGTCTAGCTAAACTAAACAATTTTAGATATTTATTATTTGGGTTTTAAATAGGGTAGATTTAAGCATACAAATTTGTTATCACATATAAAGATAAGATACAGAAAATAACTGTATAATGTATATTTTGTTAAACTTATTATTGTTATAACTTATTTATTAGTTAAGATACAACTTTTTACCCAATAACCTTTTCTATTGGCCATATTTTTGGATTAAAACTACGTTTTAACCGATGACCTATCTCGTACCGTTATTGAGCTACAGTCGTTTCAATGCATAGCGCGTTGCGCCATTTTGCCCCCCTCCCCCAAGTTCTCGACCACCTGAAAAGTAGGCGACATGCGTATTTTTATCGCCACAGTCCATATTACAACTATCAGCAAAGATATTTGATATTACTTCTTTGCGACACTCACAAATTAATTCTACTTTCGGTAATAAAAACCACACGCAAAGTCCATTTTTACATATTTTATACAATAACTTGTTTATTTATAGAGATACGACCTCGGACTCAATAACCATTATTGTAGTCCACATTCTTAGAATTACAACGACGTTTTAATCGATGTTCTATCTTTTACGGTTTTCGAAATATCAGCGTTTTAACGCATAGAGCAAACCGCCATGTTTGCCCCCCCCCCTTCCCACCATATCGACCACTTTTGTAATAGGCGACATACGTAATTTTGATCACCATGGTCCATATTACAATAATCAGCAATAACATTGCGTACTACTTTCATGCATGCTCAACCCCCTCAGCTCCTGGACTATTAGTCTAGACCAACCGTCCGCATGCGCCACCACATACTTTTGCCGTCCCAGTATTTGTACAGTTTATGTTTAATGTGTCTAATAAATGTTTTGTGTTCGTGTCCATGTGTTCAATGGATTTTATTCAAAATGACGTGTTCATGAAAACAAATGAAGATGATATCCTAGCCTGAAGAAGATACCATGAAAAGGTTATCGAAACTGTAGTAGCCTACTAAGACTACAAGGATCACTTTGACAGTAAAGGTATTTAAACCATTCATTCACTTATTAAATAATTTTTAATTTCTTTTTAAATTTTAATTAAAAATCTATTACTTCCTGAACAAAATTAGATCTCATTTAGAGTTCTAAAAAATTTCCTAAACTTCAAAATCATTTTTTAAAATAAACCTCACTTGGTTATTTCTACTTATATTTTAGTAATAAATAAAAAACAAACACAAAGTCCTGATATTACAACAAATAATTTTAATTTTAAGGTCTGATTTTATGAAAACAACCTTTTCAATATACATGTCCCCCTTTCTTATAAATCTTAAGATATAGAACCATGAAATTTCACAAAATATTTTTAAAACTATTTCATAAAAGTGATGCTAATTCCTTTACTATACTATACATAACAAAAATGTTACTACCATTTATATACACAAAAAGTAAAATGTGTGGTATATTTTAAAAAATATTTAGAAATAAAAATTTTATTGAATATAAGTGTTGCTGATTTGGAGATTTATAAAAAGTATTTGGTGGAGGATATTGAAATAGTGAGTTCTAAATATGGTGGGCAGATTCAAATCATATGTGGTAATATGAGAATTCGACTTCTGGAGAGTTGGAACGCAAGACTGACACCCGACAATATAAACAAACTTATGCGATCTGATAAACCCGTATTTATTGTATTCAAGGGCACAAAATCGCTTAAAGATGGTAGAAAAATGCACGATTTAGTATTTATAAGAGATTGAGAACAGTAGAAGATTATAAAAACAGGTTTTGCAAAAACTACTGAAGAATATTTCCCAAAAGACAATTGAAAAAGTTAGGAGCTACAACAATAAATTGTATATGATAAAATTTTTAATTAAAGTTTACTATTTTAATATTTTTTTTACTCACGACCAATATTCAAACCACACACACAGTACATTTTGCTGACACTATTGCAACTGGTAGTTCAAGCAAACAGCACGCTTAATATTGGTTTTATATCAGTGGAACTAGTTCAACTTTCAGATACCTAAAACACTGAAACTTTTGAATACTTACAACAGTAGACAGTTGTTTGGTTCCTCACAATAGTTGAGAGTTGTTTGGTTTCACACAACTGTCCGGAGTTTTTTGATTACACACAACTGCCTGCCAGTTTGTCAAAACTCACAACAACCTTTTCAATATACATGTCCCCCTTTCTTATAAATCTTAAGATATAGAACCATGAAATTTCACAAAATATTTTTAAAACTATTTCATAAAAGTGATACTAATTCCTTTACTATACCATACATAACAAAAATGTTACTACCATTTATATACACAAAAAGTAAAATGTGTGGTATATTTTAAAAAATATTTAGAAATACAAATTGTATTGAAAGTAAATAATTTTGGTACCAGTTTTATATAAAAACATGACATATAACCTTAAAAAACATAGGTTAATAACTCTACTGTTTTATAAACAAATGGAATATTAAGATTACTGATTTAATATTATAACATAGGGTATATGATACTCCCTTAAGTATATAGTTAATATTTTTGGTAAAATAAACCCCTTCTACAGTTCTTATTCACCCTTTTCTAATATAAATTGACTATCTGACATTGAAAAAATTGTGGTGTTTGGGAAAACAAATGATATAGTTTTATTATTTTTTGAGATAATCCTATTTTCATTTAATTCTTCAATGTGTACTTTATGAAATTTGTTGTAAAATCTTTTTTTAACAGTAAGAAAGGCATGAATAGTGGCATTTATAGAATCTTGATAAACTTTTCTATGAAACTTATTTTTACATTTTTTACATGTTTTGATTATATACTTTTTTTCCTAAGATTGAACTTTGAGGTCAACTTTTTTTAAATATGTTACAAGATTGTTTTTTTCTACTAAAATGATGTATCTTACTAAAAAACCAGAATTAACCTGATAAAGTTTAAAACTACCTCTTTCTCGAATTTACAAGTAACAGCAATTGTTTTTGCAATGTGAAATTGAAAAAATATTCCTAAAAATAGTTGATTACCTGTAAATGAACACAGATACTCAGGAGAATAAATTAATTCAGACTGTAAATATGCAGTAGTAAAATTGTCAAAATTTGGCCTGGGAATAATGTTGTTATATTTTAAATATTTCAACCAAAAATATGAATCTTTAATCAATTTCACCTTTCCAAATGGCAACATTTGAAATATTAAATAGAAAAGCTCAATTGGCAATTTCATAAATAAAGAGCCATCCATTGTACAGTTTATTTATGTATACAAGTAAAGAAATAAAATTTAAATTTCAACTTTCTGAGATCTCTTATTTTAATATTTAAATTTCTTAAAAGGTGAACAAGTGATTTTAATCTACAATATAGTTGTGGTAGTAGTTTATGCTTTTTGTTTACAATATTAAATATTCTGGCTATGACTGGAGGATTAGATCTTGTTACAATTTTAATATGGATTACTAAATGTTTATTTTTATTTTGGATATTTTTAGTAAGATTTTGAATAATTGTGCGAAACAATCTAGATTTGTTTGTAAAATGTCTAATGTATCTTTTTTTTAGTGTAATTTTCTCTTTATCTAACAACAATGGTTAAACATATGTATTATACAAATAGAGGAACTTAAAAAACTTTAACAGTTTACCACTTATGTAGAAAACTTACCAACAAAACACTGGTACTCACGTGCACTCTACTAAAGATGGAAGGATAGGATGGTGGTTTATATACACCCAACCTCTCCCCCCTGTCTACTTTGGATGAAGAGTTATGGTGGGGGGGGGGAGTGTGGATATAATTTATGTCGGTGTAGAGAGGTCAAACAAGAAAACTAATAAAACTTTAGATACAATTTTAAATCATAATTTTCCCAAACAAGTAATCAATTAATATTATTAATCAATTTTATAAATAGCCAAATTTTTTTATATACTATTTTTAATAATCACAATAATCCACTGATAGATTTAAAATAACCTATAGACTTTTAATATTATTAATTAATTTTATAAATAGCCAAATCTTGTATATATACTATTTTAAATAATCACAATAATCCACTGATAGATTTACAAACAACCTATAGACCTTTAATTTAATTTAAATGGGATCTTATTAAAACATTAATTATGTAAATTATTATGAGATATTATTTTTTCTTCCCCCCTTATTAAAAATTAGGAATTAAGTGGTAAAAGGATTGGCGTTTTGTTAAAATCTTTCCAATATATTTCTCTTGTTTGTCTGAGTAAATTCTTTAGGAATAAATATTTTCGCAGATCTTCTTCAAAAATATTTTTTTTCTTTTGTCATTTTTTTCTTTGTTATATTCATCAAATCTAGAATATTTGAATCCATTATAATTGTTATTATCTAAAACAAAATAAAACCTCTATACATTTCATTCATCAGGAGATTCATCATAATCTATGTTTTTTGTCAGACAAAACTATTGCTCTGCCAGCCAGTGGTGCAGCCTACCATCAAGTTCAATGTGGAATATATTGAATGTTCAGTACCCCGAACATAGATAGAAGTCAACAAGGATAAAATGTATTGTTACTATCCAACTATTACATCGCTACACTATAGAATAA